AATGTAAGACCCATCGAATCCGAATTTAAGACTTTTTAAGGCCTTCTATTAGGAAAACGTTATTTAAGACTTTTTAAGACTTTTTAAGGACCCGCGGACATCCTGCGTTCCACCCGTGGAGCTCTTTCAGAAATGCTCTTTTAGTGTGCTGAAGCGCACGGGAGATGGCCGCTTGCAACACACACAGGGGGTAGTGCAGCCTGATGTGTGCAACCCACTCGACACGGGAAAACCACCACCGCTGAAGCGGCGTACTGCCAGCACGAGAGCCCTCGAAGAGCGTGCTTGAACTCGCGTAGATCACTCGGTTAAGCAGACTTTATAGTTTCAAACCTTCTGTGAAGAAAAACAGTTTCTAGCAGCTTAAGCAGAACCGGTCAAGATAACTCGCAGTACCCTGTGTTATTAGATTCAGCCAGTTGTTATCCGGGAATAACATACCTTGGAATGTCGCAACGGGCTAATCAGAATCAAGTATTCCAGAGCACTGTGTAATAACACATTTTAAACTACACAAAAGGTTATTTGTTTAAAGAATGTTAATTGTTCTTGATTTAAGCCATTGTGGCATAGTTTAGATAAATAACTATACAGCCAAATGAGAGTCATAGGGAAAAGGGTTATTAATAATTAACCTGCTGGTAGACAGTTTACAACACGCAACAACAATTGCCTGTAAATGACAAACCTACACAATTTTTAAAAGCACAGACAATGTTTTGATTCCAAAAAAGTCTACACCCCTAAACCTATTACCTGCATGTTGAATGTACATTTGCAACATTGTTCAAACATTCTTGCATGTTCTTTGTTTATCTGATCAACACGTCTGAACAGGAATACAAAGTGAAGGCATCACTCAGCAGAGACATTGTTGAGATCAAGAAGGAAATCTACTCATCAATTCATACAACCATTCAAAAGAAAATGACACCTGGCTACATAAGTAAGACACCAATAAAATATACAGAAAGACAAGACTATTCAATTATTTTTGGTATTGTCCAACTGTTAGTTTTAAGATTTTTAGTATCTTATAAAACTGTGCTGTGTTTGCAATTGTTTTCAGTGAGAGCCAAGTTTTTTTTGTTCATATTTTGAGCAAAAGTTTAAACAATAAAGACATTTTTTCACAGCCTTCTTTGCTCATTTTACCAAGGGCTAATATTAGTGGAGGGCACAGTATTACAGTACATGTTTGGTATAGGTGTTAAGCGCTTCTCTATAGAAATATGATGAATGAATATTAAATGTTGGTTATTACAGAAGCTGCACAGGAGAGAGGAACAGGAGCCATGCAGAGGATGGAGAAAATAGTAACAGAAACAATTGAGCAGTTAAAAGATCAAATGTTCAATGAAGCAAAAGTGAAAGTGACTGATATGTTCGAAACCTTGAAGGTAATGAGTTCACGCACTCATCAATAATGAATGTCATAAATTCTGGCTGAAAAGTTTTACATAATATGTAAATATTTTTTTGCGATCAGGAAGTTTTTTAAACAGACTAACTATGTTACACACACAGCTGAATATAATGAAGACCCTCGAATCTGAGCTAAAACATTCAGTGAAACTCTCGTTTTCACATGCCGGACAATTGAAAACGAGTAAGAGACTCTGATTTCATCATTTTTATGATTTAAAATAATTGTAGTAAATTATCTTACATGAAGTAATGACGTTTATCTAAAGGAGCATTGTGTAATGTGTTTTCTGCAGATGTCTCCGGAGAGATTCAAGAGCTGGAGAGACTGTCAGAACAACTGTCTTCCTGAGGTCAAGCAAAACAATATATATATATATATATACTTTGAAATAGTTTGTTTGGACAACTGGGAATATCTGGTGCATGTATACAGAGACCAAACAAGAATATAGAGATAAACAGATGTAAACTTGATTTTTCTCATTCAGTGCTGTGTCATATATTAGTTTTACTCTAGAATTAAAAACATAACCAGACAAGGTGCATCAAGGATATTATAGTTTTGAATTTTTATTTTATTTTATTTTAATATCGTTTTCAAATGTCCTATAATTTCAGTTTAGTTTTAGTTAGTTTCATTAATTTTATTTTGTGAGCACATTTTTATTTAGTTTTTATATATTTTAGTTTCAGTTTATTAATGATAGTTTAGCAGAGTTAATGGAACACTTCCAGTGTAGACCAAAGCAAGACATTTATTTGAGCAAAGTTGAATATTTGCACAGTTTAGTTAACTCTTGTGCAAACCTCCTAATAATGAAAATAAAATAAATCTTTACAATTGAACAAAAGCCAAAAATATGCAACTTATATGTAAAGGTTTTCAGAGGTAGCAGAAATCTACAGGCAGCTGAGTTTGTGGACAGTGACAGCAGGACAGTGACCCTCCAGAGCTGGATTTGAGGAAACCTGTTCTTTGTAATCGTCATTGAAACGCCGTAAACAACACATTTGTTGGATCTTGTGCTACACTACTCTATGTCTCCTCTCTCCCTCTATGAGCGTACACAATAAGAAGAAGCAATCTAGAATGCTTTGAAAGCTCATACTACTCAAAACTAAACATGATATGGTGATTTAAATGATGTTTGCACTTTACTTTGACGAGCCGATGAGCAACGCAATCAATCCCAGTTCTAAAGCTACACAGGACACGGTAAGCGGTGAAATCGCTTTCTCTCATTTTGGATGCGTTTTGTTCAGTCAAAGCGGTGCTCGTGTCATGGACTCGAGGCGGACGTTGCCATAGTAATCGTAAAGCGTGACAAAATGACTATTCACTGAAGTCAGCTCATCCAAAAATTGTAATTATGTGTCTGTTAAGTCAAGTCAAGTTACTTGTTACTTACTCTCATGTTGTTCTCGCACGTCAAACATGCTTTTAAACGTCCGTGCGCTGTAAGGTGTGCATTATTATTATTTCCCATTTCATATTTTATAGTTATTTCCCATTTCATTTCCCACGTCTTGTTTTTTAAATGCAAAAACGCATTCTCCGTGAATAGAATTAGGACTCAGCTCACGTGCATGAAGCGCCATCTACAGGTATTTCCCTGAACAACCACAGGTCAGATTTTCTGGCACAGAATGAGAGCTTATTAAATCACGAACACGATTATTTATTTTTGCTAATTATTATTTTATTTTAGTTAGTTTTTCAATTACTGTTAGTTTAGTTTTAGTTTTTCATTTATTTCAGTTTACGAAAATGTTTTTTGACCAATAGTTTTAGTCTTAGTTTCAGTTTTCGTTTATGAAAATAACCTTGAGGTGCATTCCTGCACTGAGACGAACTAACATTGATTATGATAATAGAGGGTGGTGACAAACAGAAATGTAGGTGAAGGTTGTATGTGTGATAGTCATGCCTAACTGCAAGCGTTGTTTTTTTAAGCAATTATGGTTTGTGTTCCTTGCTATTTGTTCAAGGCAACTAGGAACTCTGCACTTAATATGCATGTCCATTTATTTATTCAATCTCTGCTTCAGGACCTTTTAGCTGTCTGTATTATATTATATATATATATATATATGCAGCGGACTGTATCATTGAATTCACAGGTGCTCTATAGAAGAGGGATCAGACATTCATGAAATACCACTAATGCATTGTGGGTAGAAAAGCTTTCATCAGGGTGTGGGTACAAACAGATGTTTTATAGGGTGTGACCAAAATATGTCAATTAGTCAACCACATGTCAAGGCATCATTAGTGTACCTACAGTAGCTGCTTTGAATAAATACAACCCGCTGCGTTCTGTACAGCTTTATTAAATGCTATTCATTTTTTGTGTAGTTCATTTGTCTTTTTGTATTGTTTTAATAATTGTCATTGTATGAACACATTTCTGAAGTGTAAAAGAAAGGTAAGGTAACACATGTTCTTGTTCAACAAGGCAAAGATGAAAGTGCTGAAAAAGTTCGATAACTTAACCAACAGAGGAATCACATGTACAGGATGATGAGAAGGATGCATCTTCACAATACTGCCTGAAGGATGCGGTAGATCTGTTTATGCTAAACATAAACTCCTGTGCTTGCTTATATGCGCATTAAGAGGGTGTGTTACGTAAATCAGGAAGTTGACGTTATCATGTGACTTCAGACGTTACAAGCGCAACAGCTTAAAAGATACGAGCGACAGGTTTAATTGATCTCTCTGTAAATGTTGTGATGTTGATAAAATGTGCTCATTCTGTGGTCTTGTTGGAGAAACCGCTGCCCTTGTATTGTGATTGCAGTTTAAACAATACATTTTGTGTTGATTTAAGTTTTTATAGTTTTAACCCTACTAATATGACCCATAGTTTAATCCTTAAAGATATTATATTTTATTATGAAAACCCCAAATTGTTGTCTTTTGAATATGTTAATTTCATCTGCAAGCAAAACTGGCTTAAATCTCCTTTCGTTTTCCTCTTTTTCTTGTTTAACTCTCTTTGTTTCATCCCTCCGGCTTATAAATCGCAACAACAACAGCAAATGCAATTTTTGATGCTTTATGATTATATGAATATTATGATTATTTAAAGATATTTACCCTTGTAATTGTGCCTTTTTTCTGTGTATATATTCTCATACAATGATGCACGCAAACCCATTGTATTTATGTTTTCTATTATGATTGTTCATTGTTAAAGATACAACTATTTCTCCCTGAGATTGTAAGTAATTATAAGTTCTGCAGTAATAATAATAATAATAATAGAAAGAAGATGAGAGAGGTGCACTAACACCTCACAGCATCAGTAATATGACAACCCTACCTAGTACAGTTTTCCTCAGCGTTTGCAATGTTTGCACAAAAGACACATCGACCAGCTGCTTGAAGATCTCGTCTTTGGAGAAGACTGCTGATATTATACTCATATTTTTAGTACTTACAGTTTCTAAGATTACCCCAAAATGCATTGCTAGCCCACCCCAACACTTACAATAATGATAAATGCTGACCAAAAATTCATTACATTTTGCTAATTAATTGTTTTACTAAAATTATATATTTAATTTGTTTTGTCATATGCCAGAGCTATGCATGAATACACACTAGACAAACGCAGCCAAGGTGAATACATCTCAATTTTCAGTCAAGTAATTAATGCAACATTCATTCGTTAATGAAACAACTATATTTTATTTACTGACAACAGGAAACATGAATATGAGTAAAAGAATGAATAAAAGTAACCAAAAGTGTCTGACAAATGAATAAATGTAAATGTGATATTTGTAAATGCTTTTTTTGTGTCTTGGGCACAAACGTTCAATAAAGCTGCTTATTTCTTCAAGGTACTACTTTAATATAAATGCTTACATATACAGTATTTCATACAATTTCTATTTGGGGGGTTTAAAGGGTTAGTTCACCCAAACATATGAATTCAGTCATTACTTTCTCGCCTCCACGCTGTTCAATCCTTGTGTTGGCTTGTTTGTTCCCTGAACACAAAAGGTGATTTCGGTCGAGTTTGTGCTGCTGGTTTGTGTTCATACAATATCAGTCGATAGAGCCTGACTTTCAGAAGCTTCGTCACATTATTTGATGATGCTTTTGAGGCAAGTTTATTTATATAGCTCATCTCATACACAATGGCAATTCAAAGAGCTTTACATAAAAAGGAAAGAAAATATTTCAAAAAAAATAATCACAACAATAAAAGCAAGGAATTAAAATTTTAAATGGATTTAAAATGTATTAAAACAGTTAACCCTCGAGCATCATTTGTATAGCAGCCCTTAATTTGTCAAATTTGGGCACGAAGGTCTCCGCTGTGATCCCGGTTTTTACTTTTAAATAAGTCACATCACTGTCTTCGATAAAATAAAAACGATCAATTTATGCAGTTTTTGTTATTTTTGGTGTTTTTTTATTTACCTCTAAAAGTACCATATTTTAATTTTTTTTTAAATATGCTTATTTTTATGTTATATTTAATATTTCTTATACTTTAGGGGGAAAAATCATTCCAGTAAGTTCAGACAGCCAAAACCAAAATTTTTGGTGAGTTTGGTGACATCTGATGGTATAAAAATATAAAAAATATCAATATCCACTATATGGCTGTAGTACTCAATGGCTGCATATAGGCTCAAATCTATAAACCATTGTTGTAACGAACGTAACCTCTTAAATTTGAGATTTTATCACAAGTTAAAAGTGTAGAATTGAAAAAAAAAAACCTTGGTATTTCTAACTGACTCGATCCTAATGATCTGAGTGCTCTGTTAGGTTTATATTCAGTGAACATATCTGCTATGTATTTAGGTCCTAGGCCATTGAGTGATTTATAAATGAGTAAAACAGGGTGTCCGCGGGGTCTTTAAAAGTCTTAATTAAGAGTTTATTGTATAATTTAAGACTTTTTAAGGCCTTAAATTTGATACAACTAAATTTATGATTTCATTGTGAAAATCGACCCATGTTGTTACCCTGCAAACACGTAGAGCTTTAAATGTGAACTGGTGGATTGATAAGAAGACAATGCATTATAAAAATCTAAACAGTATAGGTGTGTGCGATATGTATGGTCTGCGATAATATCGTAATTGTTGTTTTAACGATGTGCGATTTGATAGTATCGAGTATATCGCGAAAAGCAAACAAAACACACCTACAGAGTGCATGCATACATTAGTTGATGAAGTCTAGTAAGTTAATATAGGTTAAACTACTGCACGTGCGCATTTAGAGCGCGTTCTTTCACTGCATGAATCAGTCTATTAAAATGCATTTAGAATGATCACATAATTCAAGATATAGGGCAGAAAATGTATATATTTATATCATTTCATATAGTTAATATCACACGAAGAGTGCCATTTTTTTTCTCCAAAAGTCAGCATGATTACAAATGTGATGTTGATTTTATACAACAGTTCAATAAACAAGAAGAGACTTACGTTTTAGACACCACAGCACTGTTTCGCGTATCTGAGCGAAAACGATTCAACCGTTTAAATGATTCTGTTCAATTGCAATGACTCACTTAACCCCTTTGGTGTCACCCCCCATTTTCAGCATGGAGACACAAATGACATACCCAAAATAAAAAGGTTGCTGCTCATGAGTCTTTCTGACTAGATACATAATCAACATACGTTGGGAGCAGTTGACCAAAAAATGAAGAAAAACATTTGATTACAAACTTGCAGCCTTTCACTTCACAAGACATGAATTGATGGACTGGAGTCATGTGGATTATTTTGATCAGCTGTTTGAGCTCTCATTCTGATGGCACCCATTCACTGCAGAGGATCCATCGATAAGCAAATGATGTAAAGTTATATTTCTTCAAATCTGTTCTGATGAAGAACTCGTCTTTGTCTTGGATCGACTGAGGGTAAGCATTGTTGTAAATATGTGTCACTAAATAAATAAATTTGTTATTACCATTCCTTTAATGCAAGACAATAAGACATTCAACATTTTTCATGAGGCTTTTTCATCTTGCTACACACAAAAGCCATTTTCCGATCACAGTTGTATTTATTCCACTTTTCCAAGCCTATAGCCTATATATATATATTTATATGTTATTGTTACAGTATTCTGATAAAATGTAATGCTTGTTAAGGTAATACAGCCAATTCTATTCCATTAGCATTTCATAAACATTAGGTGAAGTTAAAATGCAGTTCCCTTTCATGGGATCTTCGAACTGCGTCCTCTAGGGGTCGCTATGGGGAACGCCTCGTCGTGACCCGTGTCTGAAGCATACATTGAAAAAACACCAACAACACGTTGGCCGGCGACAGCCATGACGTCACTACCGGTGCGACTATAGTATAAATAGGCGCCGGGAGAACACATCATCCTCTTCTTCGTCTTCACTGACTGTTTTGTTTGAAGCGTGCATTTCCGTGGTAAGAGCGCTCTCTATTCATTCATTATGGCGAGCACTAGCAAAGTGTTTAGAGGATGTGTGCATCCGTGTTGTCGTTATTTGACACCTGATGACACACACGATCTATGCATTGTTTGTTTGGGCAAAGAGCACGCACGCAATGTCCTCGAGGGGGCAATCGGCGTGCACTGCAAGCGTTTTTCAATGAAAAAGCTCCGCTCTCGTTTGTCTCTCTTTTCATAGAAAGAGGGGCAACCATCTGCTTCCCGCGGTTCAGGAACCGCCGCTGCTGAGGCACGGAGGAAAATGAGCTTGTGGTGATCGCAGGTGGATCTGGCCGATGAGTTTAAAGAGGCGCTTTCCCTCTCGCGCTCGTCGGCTGTGGACAAGAGTGAGCCGCTGGAGGATGATGTTATTTCTTTAACATCGTCTGATCCAGGGGCCAGTGCTCTGCTGGGTTCGGCCCAGGAAGAGCAAGAGATGTCTGAGGAGGGCGAAGAAGCTGAGGCTGAGCCATTCCAATCCTCCTGCCCTGCGTATGATGAGCTCTTGGAAGTTATGGATGGCGCCACGGCGAGGCTTGACTTGCCGTGGAAGCGGACTAAGGAAGAGACGTCGCGAGGTCGTCTCGATGAGAGTTATCTTTCTGGCCATAAACCTCTAACGCTCAGGTGAGCCATTCCTTTCCTTCCTGATCTCCATACAGTGCTCGAGAAGGAATGGAAGAGGCCCTTTTCCTCAAGCATCCATCGATTCCAGCATACCAGTTATGCCAACATCGAGGCGATGTGCAAAAACAGCTATGAGAGGATGCCCCCTGTAGAAGAGACGCTGGCCAGCTATCTCTCTATGTGTGAGACATCTTCTCTTAAAACTCCCTCCTTGCCATCTAAGCCCCTTCAGATTACATCTCGCTTGAATGGCAGGGCATATGCAGCAGCAGGTCAGGCTGTCGCTTCGTTGCACATGATGGCGGTGCTCCAGGCATATCAGGCTGACCTGCTGAAAGACCTGGATAAAGGCGAGGGCCTTTCTCCTGATGAGGTAGCTGAGTTGCGCAGCATCACGGATCTCGCTCTCCGTGCTACTAAGCAGGCCGCCTCTGCTATGGGCAGATCCTTGGCGGCTATGGTGGTGACGGAGAGGCATCTGTGGGTGAACCTGGCAGACATCGGGAGGAAAGAAAGGGGCTTTCTTCTCGATGCCCCGGTTTCGCCCTCTGAACGTTTTGGTACCTCCGTTGAGACGGTGGTCGAGAAGTTCAGGGAGGCGAAGGCATGCTCAGCGGCCTTCAAATCCTTTCTTTCCACGAAGGTCCAGGTCTGAGGCCGAACAACCCAGGGGTCCTGGCCCATCTCGGTTTGAGGATCAGAGATGGGCACAGAAGACTAGTGTCGCGGCTCGCGCCCCTCCTCCGCCCACGGGTAGGGGTAGGAGGAATCGCAGGTCAAAGGGAGGTAGGCAAGACCTAAGGGATGTGATCCAGACAAGGTGTCAGCGTTTTCGTTCAGATCAGAGTGATACTTGATCGTGATTAAACCAGAACAATTTAAAATAAATGAACAAAAACCATTTTTAAAGTTTGGGCTCCTAAACATTAGATCACTCTCACCCAAAGCAGATCTACTCATTTCCCTCGGGGGGTTTTACATCTGCCCTTATCTTCCCCTTCCTAATTCCCCTGTAACCACCATCTCTCCACCTGACGAAGGTTAGGTGGGAACTTCCTGCATTACAGTCTTCTATGCTGGACCTGTGATGTTTTGGTTGGTTCTATGGCTTCATAGTGACCACCTTACTGATGGTCCGGACTAGAGGCTTCTCCGGACAGGGCTCTGACGCGGGAACCATGGTGGGTGAGTAGGATCCATTTCTAAATATATATATATATATGTGTGTATTTAATGCGCTGGTGGTTGTGTGTATAATCCTTCTGCTAGCTTTCTTTGCAGTGTTTCCAGGGACCTGTGTGTTTCTGTCCTTTTTATAGGGTAGGTCCTCGGTGAGCACCCCC